TGTCTTTGGCTTCCTCCTGAATAACGACATGATGTCCATTGGTTGTTTGCGGCTATCTCCTGAATGATTTGATGTACATTAATTTTTTTTGTTATAGTAGTCATGAAAGACACTGAAATATATGCAAGTATTTTCGTAGATTATGACCTTTGATTCCTGTGCTATACCTTTTAATGTAACCTTAGTTAATTATTTTGCTTTATATATGTATTCTATATTTTTGCTTTCGTTTTTATAAACTTACTGTTTTGTAATAAATTATTTTGAACCTTGTATGAGGCTTGCGTTGGGTGTACATAGTTTTTTTTTCTGAAAGTTTCAGCAAGACTCCATTAAAACTGCTTGGTTCATAATATTGTAAGCATTTTACACTAGCTATTACGTGCTCTGTTGATCGTTAGTTTGTGTAATATTACATCACAGTGATACAACTGTAAAGTTTATATTGTAAACCTAGCCTACCCAATGAGTTCTGGTACAGAATGAAAGGCCTCATCAGGCAGTGACCTAATCAAGTAAGGTGTGTGTGTGATTTAAATGCTGTTTATACACACTTGCCACTAGAAACCCAACCAGGATCAGTAGAAATTATCATCAGTCTGGTGGTTAAGGCTCACAACTCAAGGGTCACAGGTTTAAACCCCTGCCACTGAACATACTCATCCTTTCAGCTGTGAGGGGTATTATAACATATCGGTCAATCCCACTGTTCGTTGGTAACAGAGTAGCCCAAGAGCCGGCAATCGATGGCGTTAACTAGCTGCCTTCCCCTCTAGTCTATCACTGCTAAATTAAGGATTGTTAGAGCAGATCGTCCTTGTGTAGCTATTGCACAAAATTCAGAACCAAACCAAGACTAATTGTGATGTCTTTTTCTGTGTTTAAATGGTAATCATCATCATCACTCTTGTTGTAAGGTTTTAAATGATCCCACATGCTTGTACTTACAGTTGACCAGCCTCAGCCAAGGGTTGCAGGCCGAAAAAGCTTCTCGAACTGACCTGGAGATGTATGTGGCCGTACTAAACACCCAGAAGGCTGTGATGCAAGAAGATGTAGAACATGTGAAACTAGAGTCAAAAGACAGTAAGTATTCCATGTAAACTACCTGAAAAACCCAGAAATGGAATGGCAATAAACCTTCCTTGTCATTCCCATCTGTAACGTAAACTTTTTCTTTTAGTTAAGTAAATTGATATCTTCATACTGCAATTTTGTCCTATCTGAGGCAAATTGTACAAGGCATTTTTGTAACTGACTTGTTTACTAACCCACACTTTGGAATAAAGTGTCTTAATATTTAGATTAAATATGGTAATAAAACTTATTCTTAATATACAATCATTACTAGTTATGATATAAGCTCTCTTGAAACTTTTTTTTTTTTGAACTGTATAATTTTTTTAACCACACAAGGATGTAATTTTAACTTTGTATAATAACTAAATTAGATATTCTTTTACAGATGTGTAAATTGCACAAAAACATTGAATTTTGGGATTGCTCTCTCTCTCTTAAGATAGGAATTTCTGGCTCTGAGCTGACTCCTTATTTATCAGCTGTTAAACGAACACCACTGTTCGTTATAACTAGTGTTTGTAAATAAACACCACAAATCTAAATTATGATATTAGTAGTAATTATTGAACATTCCTCTCGCATTCTGTTTTAACAGTATTGCTGCAACTTGAACGTGAAAAAAAAGAACATGCTGCTCTCAAGAAAACCTGGCAGATGGCTAATGATCAGTTTCTGGAGGCTCAGCGATTGCAGATGCTGGACATGCGACGCATGCAGAGTGTCCTCACCACAGAGCAGCTGAGACAAATCAGTGAGCTGCAGAAGAAGGATGAAGAAAGACTGGAACAAGAACGGCGTATTGTAAAGCTACAGCAGTTAAAGGAAGAACTTGACAGGAAACAGTCTGGTAGGACGCGTTGTTTTTTTTTGTTGTTGTTTCAAATGCCCAGTTTTAATTTTGTCATACTCGCAATGATATTAACAATATCAATTGGAATAACAGATAAACACCAGTAGATAATCTGGTATGAAACAGACAAGTATTGTTATTTTCCCAAGCACTAGTATTTCCAGTTTTGAATGTTAATTTTTGTCATTCTTATATTGGTGTCTTTATTACAAAATTATATAATAGAAGGAAAAAAAATATTGTTAAAGTAATTGTATATAGTTTTGTAAGATAAATGAAGTAAGACTTGTATATCTTGAAATAGGTAAATGTGAATTAATATTATTGTATTTCAGGTTGTAAATGGAAGTAAAAATGTTTTCCAAACTAGAAGTATCAGAAAAAACACATTTTCTGTGTCTTTACTGGGTCAGTCCATGATAGGTCAGCCACCTTGTTTCGCAGGGATGTTGGTGTCATAGAGATACAAGATTTTGCTAAGTTTCACATCTCTATGTCAAATGGTTTTTATATGAGATGTCACCATATAGTTGACCCAAAATGGCTCCCGGATGAACCAGTGACATAAAAAGTACCAATAACGTTTTCATTTCTAATACTAAAGTAAAAAAGTGTAAACTGTTGCCATTTTGGGTCAAATATTTGGTGACCTCTCACATAAGAAAATGTTTGACCCAGAGATATGAAACTTGGCTAAATGTTGTATCTTGAGCTTGTGGTTCTTTAGTGCTATCAGTAATTTAAAGGTTTCACTTGGAGGAGGATCAAGAAATGTGAATGCCAAGTGTACTCGGGGAGAATTATGTAGTGGTTAGCTCACTCAGTTTGGATCTGAACAGTTAGAAAGAAGTGCTATCTTGTGTTTTGTGCACTCATGAAAACTTGGAACAATGCATTGTTTTATTACATTTAATCCACTGTTTTTTGTTTTTTTTCAATTTGATCAGAATAGAGATTAAGTTTAACTGCAGTGAATATTCTGCCGTATCTCCAGTTACGGTGGCTGCTTTTTTCTGAACTGATGATGGTATACCTGAGAACCCCCACACACACAAGCTTTTTTTTTCCTCCAAGAACAATAAATGCACATTGTTTTGGTGTTATTTTTCAAGTTAGTTGTAACAAGTATTAAATAAAACTTTAAAGAAATAGTGATATCATGTAGAAAGCTTGTGATAGTTAATATGTAAATCTAACAGTGTCTTAAAAGTGAGTCGTATACATAATTTTGTTTTGAAAATGTTAAAAATTAACAATCTAACAATGCCTAAAGCGTCTATGGAAATTGGTTACATACATAATCTTGTCTGGAAATGTTAAAAACTTCTTTTCTTAGCTATTGATTTTATTAGTTTAATATGTTTTAAACACATTATCAGTGCTTAAATTTAGTCATGGTTAGCTTTCCGATGTTTTATGCATTTTTACAAATCTATGCATTAAAAATTCAGTTACTTTAACAAACATTTTTCTTTTCCCCTTTTTAGGAATCCACAAGTAATGCTAAAAGATGAACTTATAAACAGTGTTTCATTAGAAACATTTAATCTGTCATTTTTGCATTTAAAAAATGGTATAACCTAGAAGTTTTAAACAAAATATATTTCATCAAATTACAATTCTTTTATTTCTCTCTCTCTATATTTCTTTAATGTTACAAAAGTCATTCGTAAAGATTATTATTTCTTGGTTCTTTTAATTAGGTAAGTGTTGATTGAAGAGCAAATTTAGTGGTGCTAAATTTCCACACATTGAAATAAACATTTAATCTGGAGCTTGTTCCTCTTTAGTCTGATGTTTATATGTTTAAATGAACTCAAAAATAGCTCTTTTAAGTCTGTGTATTTATGTAAGTATTATATATATAATTATGTATAATTAAAATATTGTTCTATATGATTTTCATAGAAAGAGAAGTCCTAACCTCCAGTCCTCGTCTATCGACATCTAGGGATTTTTTTAGAATGTTATCACCATTACCACATCAAAGATTGAAATCCACAGATAGTGCTTCAAGTGAACAAATCAGCTCATCGTTTTCGTATCAACAGGTAAATACATTTCTGAAAGATATTTTTATGTTATTTACAGGTGTAAACAGAAGTACAAAATATATTTGTTTTTTGGTTTAATATAGTACTGCTTACAGTTATATAACATTTGATGTTTAAGATATAAATCATTTTCAATTGTAATGATAGATTATAGACTTCAAAATGTTTTATACCGTAATGTATTTTGGCAAGGTTGCTATGTTATAACAAGAAAAATGTTTGTGTTTATGATTTTTTGGCTAACGATGTGGCCGCATTATTAATAACCGTAAACAGTTATTTTTCGAAAGGTTCGGTGTGCATCACCGTCTGCTAAGATATAATTCTTTGGCCTTTTCTCACATCCTCATCAGATGTTCAAACCTGTGAAAACACATCATCTCTATAAAAGGTCAAAAATATTTAAAATTATATCCAAAAGTATTTATATTATTCAAACAATTTAGTTTATATCGTTGTTTAATAACAGAAATTAAAATGAGGGCATGACGCTCCAGATGTGATTATTAATAGTCAGAGGAGATAAATTCTGGTCAAATTTCTGGGGTGTTATATTGTGACGGTCAATCCCACTATTCGTCGGTAAAAGAGTAGCCCAAGAGTTGATGGTGGGTGGTGATGACTAGCTGCCTTCCCTCTAGTCTTTCACTGCTAAATTAGGGAAGGCTAGTGCAGATAGCCCTCGTGTAGCTTTGCGCGAAATTAAAAACAAACCAAACCATCATATAAGATTTTTTTTCTCTTCCACAAAAATATGATCATAAATATAATATTTCATACAGTTTGATTCTGTAGTTTGTAGAGTTATCTTTATACTACATTTTATTAAAGAATTTCCCAGAACTGTCCTGGAATTCTTCCATTTATTTTCCTGGAAACTTCAGAAAAGTTTTTCATTTGAAATCACAGGAACCCTATTAAACAGTATCATATTTGTTTGAAGTGGTCTTTTATGTTTGTTAGTTTTTTAAGTGTGTTAAAATGGCATTGTTTCTTTCTAACCTTAACTAGCTATTCCTTGTATATATATATATATATATATATTTTTCACACAAAAGTAAATGACGGATATCAAATATTTTTTAGGATATATTTTAGGGCAAAAAGTTAACAGCGGGAACTCCTAAAATCTGCACAGATATGTATGTTCTGTTAACCAGGAAAATGTCACTCCCCTCCCTTCCCGTTGAGCACTAGTCATAAGGTATTCCTTAACCTGGAGAGATTATAACATACATATATAGTAGGCACAGATCCATGGGGTCTGGACCCCTCCCCTGCTCGGGCGAAGCAAAATTAAATTTTTTTTAATGTCTAGATAAAAAAAAAAAGTTTATAATATAGAAATAAAAAAAACAAGTAATCATAAATTAACCTTAAAAACAAAATTTATTATTTTGTTTTTTTTCATCTAATATGATTAAGATGCCTTCCGTCTTATTCTTTTACTTACTAAACTATCAAACTATCATTTTGTTCATTTGTTATTACTAATAAATATTTAACTTACAAAACTTTTGTTTTACATGAAATATATTCTATATAAATACTTAAATTTTTCATTTGGACCCCCTCCTGCTCAAAATCCTGGAACCACCCCTGCAAAGGTTTAGCATTTAATGTTGAGTGTATGATAAAAAAAAAAGTCCTGAATATTAAATCACAATTTTTTAAAACATTTTATTTTCAGAGAGCTAGAAGTACCCCTGAAAATCTTAGCCTTGCCGGACTTGATGCGTCACAAGAAAGGCATGGTTCGGGAGGGAGTAGAAAAAGACGTCTGTCAAATCTCCGCAAGTCCATATCTAGTTCTGCACTTGATGAAAGAGAAGAAAAGGAATGTACAGATGAATCACCCGAAACTTTATCACTGGTGACTTTGGAAGACCTGTCCTCTAGTCCTTGGAGTCCTAAGAAAATCTCTAGTCTAGCTCATGAACACGTCAAAGGACTGTCAGGTTTGTTAAGATGTCACTTTTTTTTCATTCGTTATCCGGTGAAAAGCTGTCTTTGTGTCTTAAAGAATAAATTGGGTTCTGTGATGTTGCTTGAATTAAGAATATGTTGAATTAAAGGTAAGCTATTACAATAGAATAAACAAAAGTTGATCTTGTGGTATAAATTTATGCAAGGAAAAGAATAATGGACCTATGTTTATTGTTGTTCTTGGGTTATTTTTAAATTGGCCTAGACAAGTTCAGTGACATGTTTATAATTTAGTAGACAAGAATGAATAGTGTTAAAAAACTATAATTTTCTTAAAACTGTAGTAATTACTTCAGACATAAAGGTAAAAGATGTAAGGATTACATTATTGTAAGCAAAAGGTCCATATATAATCAACACATTTTTCTTAATTGAAGATAGTTTTCCCCAATTTTATTGTGAATGTGTTATAAACATCTCTCTTAACTTCTTATAATACTTTCTGCATCGAAGTTAGTGTTATATCACTTTCTAAATATTTCATCAGTCTTAAAGACCTCTTCTCTAAACATAACCAATTTGTGATTATCAATCTCTCAGGTTCGGCAGGAACACTATTCATCTTTCCTGTTCTGTTTCAGTTCTCCTTCTAGTGTATTACTTTTAAAATCTATTGTTGTAATAGTTGGATTACTCTTCTCTAAACATAACCAATTTGTGATGTATCAATCTCTCAGGTTCGGCAGGAACACTATTCATCTTTCCTGTTCTGTTTCAGTTCTCCTTCTAGTGTATTACTTTTAAAATCTATTGTTGTAATAGTTGGATTATTGAACAAAAAGAAGAAGCAAAGTGCAATCCACTTTCAGTACAAAGTTAGTCAATTCACACCATCTTGAAAGTATTTTGTAACCATGAAGTTATGTGTGTGTGTGTGTGTGTGTATATATATACCTTTAAAACCTTTTGATATTCATTTAAGAGGTTATGAATGTGACAAAATTTAAAAACTGTAAGATAAAAAATTATGCTTTACATGAAAATCACCTTGTACTTGAACTATTCAGAGTCTGAGTGGAAATAACTATATTAAATAAATAACAAACTTTTAGATAAAATACCTAATTAAAAAATCTGGTATTTTGTGTTTGAAAAAGCCTTGTAATGTTTACCGGTAGTCTGGGAAATTTTGTGAAGTTATACATACATTATTAAACATTATAGAATGACTAAAATCTCATGGTTACTTTGGAGGTTACGCATATGTTCGTGGATATGCCCTGTAACCTTAGCTTTAATACGATAAGTGTATCTTCATGAAATTTGACAGGCTTTTAGTAAACATTACAAATATGTTGTACACAAAAAATCTTATGTTTTAATGAAGTATTTGTAGTAAAGATTTATCTCTGAATTTCCAAATTTCTTGCAGAGTTAGTTTGAGTGAAAGATGATTTTCATCCTCTAAAACCTCTAAAAAAGTTTTTTTTTTGTGTGAAATTTTATATTTTATCTCTTATTTTTTTTCTACCCTAAAACTGACTATACCAAAATCATCAATGCACAGTGAAATGAAAAATTGAAATATAATGAATAATTGCATTTTTTTAAATTGTCATGAGATTTTCAAATTACTTATCTTCACAGTTTCAACTGTTAACCTTTTAGCATCTGTTTTCTTTTAATCTTATGGTTTTATTTTCTTTTTTGAACCTCAGGACACTGTATAAAGCAATAAATCACAGCTAGGGTCCATTAACCGATTTTTTCCCACTAACTTTATACAAACATTACATGATCTTTGCAATAGTACAGTAATTATACAGTAAAATCTAAAACTGGCAATTCAGAGTGAACAAGAGTCACAAGATAAGGAAAAGTGAAGATTGAGGACTTATTTAAGATATTTACTCTTGAAAGTAAGAAATTAACACTTGTATAATATTAAGACTTGAATTATATACTACATTTTGATGCCAAGTTTAGTGACACTTATTTATGATAAACTTATTTAATTGTATTTTGAATGTAACTGTAAAACAGTCATGACATGCACACTTTTCCCCACTCCAATCCAGAGGGTTAATATTGGTCAATATCTCCTGTATTACCTTTGTAGTTGCAGGCCATAAGTTAGCTTGCTAGACTTTGGTTCAGTAGTTTGTGTTTCATTACTACCCATCCAAAAAAAATTTGTATTAGAATATCCTACGAGTTAGTAGTGGGTGATGTTGACTAGCTGCCTGCCCTCTAGTCTATCACTTCCAAATTAAGGATGGCCAGCACAAATAGCCCTCGATCAGAGTTGTGCAGCACCTTACAAACAATACCAACCTTTGTATATTTGTTAATTTCTATTATTCATCCAAAATATAAACTTAAGTGAACAAAAGATTATGTAGAGGTCTAATCTATTCTCTGATTTGCTACTCCTGATTAGTTTCACCAAATTTACAGCTTGCCAGTACTGCTTGTAAAAGCAAAGCATATAAATAAAGTAGGCCTCATATAGTGGTGAAATGTAATGAAATTGTTCGGTTTAGATGTATAATCCTTTACTCATCATTAATATACCATCATAGTTAATTATCCATTATTATTCACAAGACTAACTAATTGTTTATTTTATTTTCTTCACCAAAATGTGAACTTTAGTGACGGAAAGATAAGTTAGAGGCCTAATTTATTCTTTGATTTGCTACTTCTGCAGCAACAGATTAGTTTTGGCCAAATTCATGGCTCAATCAGTGCTGCATTGAAGAGTGAAGCAAGTAAATTATTGAATAACTAATTGTATTGTATGTTGCATGTTATCTCTGTAGTTACATTTTAATACCTGCTAACAGTGTACTCTTTATTTTATTGTTGAACTTTTTAACTAATTCTATATTTTGTTATTATTTTCTCTGATTTTTTTTTTTAAGTTTATGAACCTTTTCTCCACTGATCCTATAGCTTCCAGATCTCTGCTGAATGGTATAAAGACTGATAATGACAGTGTGTCCCTGGTTGGAAAAAGACTTGTTACTGAAAAAGAGTGGCAGTCACTGGAGGAGGAGGTAAGCAAGCATGAGAGTTTGGTCTGTAATGAACATGTTTTGTAATACAAGTGACCATTTGTCAGGTTTTTTGTATTTGTAGGTCAGATTCTTTACAATAGGTGTCTGTGACTTGTTGGCAATATATTTCAACAATAAACAGACAGCACACAGTCCACTTGTTTTAAAATAATACATTAAAACAGGTCAAATGTATATACAAATGTTTGTTACACTGTTGGTTATCAAAGTTTTATCCAGAGCTTTAAATAATTCTCTGTTTTTCGTCAAAAGTCCACACAGGCTGGTTCAATTACTTTAGAACACAATTGACAAGATGAATTATTCTTCTCTACTCTGTTATTACAATAATAATTTCACTTTAAAAATTGCCACTATATGCTCTTTATGACTAAACTTACAATCACGCAATCAAGCTACATTTTCAATGCGTATTTATACCCCAACAGAGGTCTAGAACGTTCCACACACTACTAGATATTATGATGCAATAATACTAATAAAAACAAGAAGAAAACTCGGAAGGTTGTATTAACAGGATACAATAATATAACAATCACCAAGTCACAACAATTGAACTACACTATGTATGATTCTTAAACATTTACGTAAACAAACTTGGGATAAAGTATCTCTTCTAAAAATAACTTAATTTAACACTCATGCTGTATAACTTTCTAAATCATAACGCTCGTATTAAATTTAAATTGCAACAGTTGTGTATATCTAACACCAATTTTTTATATATATTTTTATATATCAGTTGGGTCCTTTTAAAGGAAGACATTTAAATGATATTTTTTTTTTTGGTCAAATCCTAAAGGATTTTATTTTTCTAAAGGGGGCTCCTGTCAAAAAAGAAAAAATAAACCAAACCTTTTCT